GTTTCGGTGCGTGGTGGAATAAACTGGAATGGATCAACGAAATTCAATTTTATTTCTAATTTGCCGATCTTGAGGAATCGCTGTGTAGCCGAACGCGGTTAGAAAGTCAGAGCCTATGATATCGTCATATGGCAAGTTGATATTATTAATGAGGTGGAATGTGTATGACGCGGGTGCAGTTTTATTTAATTTTAATTTCAACGAAGAATGGCCCTCAGTAGTAGTCGATTAATCGCCCGGGTCTATGCCCTTGAGTTTGATAGGTGCTTTTATGAGGTTAAGACTTTGTTGATTGACTGTTTTAATAAACATATGGCAAACCCTGAATCAACAAGCAAAGACAGTGGAATATACGTAACGTATGAATCGAGCAGGACATATGGTAACAACCTTTTAGTGTTATCTAAATGTATCTGGTAAATTTCGATTTTGCTTGTTGGAGAAGGAACTTTCAAGTTGTGTGTCTTGGATGGCTGGACACTTGTTTGGGGCTGGATACTCTTCTGTTCTATGGAATATAGGACACTTCTTTGGAACTGGTTACCCGTGTGGCCCTTGGATTGTCGGCCACTTGCTTGGAGTTGGTTAGCTGTGTGGTCCTTGGATTGTCGGACACTTGCATGGGGCTGGTTACCCGTGTGATCCTTGGAATATCGAACACTTACTTTGGGCTGGTTACCTATGTGGTCCTTGGATTGACGGACACTTGCTTGGGGCTGGTTACCCGTGTGGCGTTTGGATATGAGGAAGGAATTGTTGGTGCCGGCTTTTAGATTTAGTCTCAGGCGACACCGTGACGAGACTCTTGATCGCTTAAATTTTGATCATCGTTATGTGAAAGATGGAATTCCTCTTAGTCTTTCTCATCATTGGGCTGCTCAACGAAATTGACCACTGGTTGTGGCCTATACTGGAATTGGAAGGTTGATGGAATATTTTTGTTCCTGAATCAGTTATTGGAATATTTTCATTTTTTACATGCCATAATGTCGTGCCCTGTCTAACAATATCGGCAGAAAGCGTTAGTGGAGCTCTGTTGGTTGAAATCAGAATACTGTAAAGCCGCGTATCCATCGAAAATGTTGACAACATTTATATTTCCAACTTTTTTTATAGGAGAGGGGGCTAACGAGCATGCGGCTCACCTGATGGTAAGTGACTACCGCCGCCCATGAACAACCGCAACACCAGGGGAATTGCAGATGCGTTGCCGGCCTTTTAAAAAGGAGTACGCTCTTTTCTTGAAGGTCCCTAAGCCGTATCGGTCCGGAAAAATCGCTGATGGTAATCGATTCCACAAGGAAGTAGTGCGAGGAAGAAAACATCTTCTAAATCGCACATTGGTGGACCGCCAATCATCCAAATGGTGTGGATGGTATCGGGAGTTCTGCCGCGATGTGCGGTCGTGAAATTTGGCGGCTGGGATTAATCCGAACAATTCCTCAGAGCACTCCCCATGGTAGATGCGAAAGAAAATGCAAAGGGATGCAACATCTCTTCGCAGTGCCAATGAATCGAGCCGATCGGAAAGGACTCGGTCGTCGACGATTTGACGATTGCCTTGAAACTGAGAAGATACGACAAAGGGGTTCTTTTTAGCGGTTAACGCGCAAACTTGTATCTTCTGAGGATTAAACTGAACTAGATTTAGTCGCCCCCAATCCGAGACTTTGTTCAGCAAAGAATCGACTTCAGACACAAGTTTGTTTCGGAACTCGGCGACGTTTTCCCGAGAAATATTGGCACGGCCGGTGTATAGAGATAGAGCATCACCAGTGCTGTCATCCGCATAGCAATGAATGTTACCTGTTAGCAACATATCATTGATATGCAGAAGAAACAGCGTTGGTGATAGCACACAGCCTTGTGGAACACCAGCGTTAATAGGCTTGTAGTCAGAACATGCACCGTCTACAACGACCTTGATGCTCCGATCTGCAAGGAAGCTGGTGATCCAATTGCACAATTTCTCGGGGAGCTTCGAAAGAAGCGCTTTGTGCCAAACCCGATCGAAGGCCTTCGCAATGTCCAGACTAACGGCCAACGCCTCCCCCTTGGAATCTACTGCCTCCGCCCATCTATGGGTCAGGTAAACCAGAAGATCACCAGCTGATCGACCTCGATGAAAACCGTATTGGCGGTCACTAATCAGCTGGTGATCCTCAAGGCACCGGATGAGCTGGCAGTTAATAATAGATTCCATTATTTTGGAGAACAAGGAGGTGATCGCGATAGACCTATAGTTGGACGGGTCTGAGCGGTCGCCTTTTTTAGGGATCGGGTCGACAAAAGCTGTCTTCCATGAATTCGGGACTACGCCTTGGGAGTAGGAGTACCGGAAAAGACGCGTTAGGACTGGTGCCAACTCCGGAGCACACGTCCTCAGCACAATTGGGGGATTCCGTCAGGCCCACTCGACTTCTGGATGTCCAGGGAGAGAAGTGCTTTGCGAACCGAGCGCTGTGAGAACAGCACATCTAGCATGGAGCACACCAACTGTTTGCAACTCAAGAAAAGTTACCAACTTTTGTTTCCGATGTTTCCGCACCGAGTTGAAACATGTCGCCAACAATTTGAGAAATATTTTAGTTGACAACTTACTGTCTCCACCAAAGTTTTGTTACCAACTTTTGTGTTGTCAACACATGTTGGTAATAAATGTTTCTGTAATTACCTAGTGTTTGCAACAAAACATGTAAACAATGTCGGGAACCGTGTTTCCATTTTCGACGGCTTTAAAGTTTTAACAAAATTTTACCTAGGTTTGCGGTCATATTTTGCCTCTGGTTGTGGTCGTTTATATAAGCTTTCTTGTATACGTTCTTCCAAGATGGCTAAGTTAATGGCTTCATTGAGGGTTTTTGGAGACCTACACCTAAGGATGTTTGAAATGCGGGGATATAGCCCCATAAGGAAATGATGGAGGGCAAGGTCCTTCATGGGCGTAACCCTACCTGGTAGTTATTTTGTTTTAGTATTACATAAGGATACTTCTGTTAATAATTGTGAAAGAAAAGTCTCTATGTGAAGTGCGAATTGGCTGACGTTATCATGTGGACCTTGCTTGTTCTGTTGTAGTTCGTTGAGAATATTCGCATAGTAGAATATGGGACGTATATAGGCTATAGCTTTAACTTTTAACTTTTACTATTAACTTTATGTTTACGCTGACTAAATTGTGTCTTTAAGAATTGTTTGAGTTTTTCCCAATCTTTGAACTCTTTTATTGAATAAGTAATTTTCTGCTTTACCGTGCAGTTGGCTAGTAATATACTTGAATAAAATGGTCTTTTTTATAGGATAAGGGTGACAAACGAGCACACAGTCTACCTGATGTTAAGTGGTTGCTGTGGCCTATAGACATCTACATCTATACTCGATTACGTATCATAATGCAGACGCGTTGTCACCCGTGAGGACTAAGATGGAATGCCTCGTTTCCAGGAAAACGGGTCTCCGGTTCTCCACACTCACCATACGCAACACAGCAGCATCAGAGTGCTATTTCACGCTGGTATTCTGTGAGAACGTGGTCCTTCCCCGGTCGAGCCGACCCATTCATGTACAACTATATATTACTGATATAGTTGCAACATGCATGTAAAATGTTTTTTGTGATTCTGAGGCTAATTCCTAAGCATTAGTCTCAGAATCACAAAACGTATTACAGTTAATGATAAAAGATTTTACTGTGTCCCCACTGCTGTCATATGGTTTAACGAATTTGCATAAGGTATTTAAATCCATTTCGATCATTGCGGTTGTTGTATAAAATATACAGATCAATATAATCTATAGAACAAGCAACAACAATATAAAATAATCACAAAAAAGAACACGCAATAATATAAAATAATCACAAATAATAAAAACATTCCTTAACTTTAAACGTTATTTCAATTGAACGAAGAAACATAAAAAGATTGAGAAAGACTGGCTTTTAAACTCTAGACAAAACAATGACCAATGACTCACAGTACTATAGTCCGCGCGCAATTAGTTGGCCGCGCCTTAGGTGGCGACAGGGGTGAGGCGGGGGTTGCTTAATGAACAGGACACATATGAGATTGATTATTCAACATCTAGATTTTGCAAGCATTGGATTATTAAGGAATTTATTAGCCTCATCTGCTGAGCAAAATTCAACAGAGATGCGATTTCTGTCTACGGTTTTGACTCGCCCTCTTTTAATGTTTTCTATATTATTTTTTGTCGAAGTGATAGCCCTATTCTAGGATCTGAAGAGGACCGGGAGATGTGGAAAATAAGAGGGCACAATTTTTTTTATATAATACTGGTTCAAATGTTCGAGTCTCAGCATGTCTTTTTTTACCGCGGTCACAATCTTTATTGGCACTTAATCCAAAGCACATGTCTTCATCGAGAGGGTCAGGGGGTTTTTCACAAGGAGACCCCGTTTCGTCACCCATAATTGGGTGTATTATTCGATAAAACTATAACTTATAAAGGTTGTCTACTTACAGCAGAGGAAATCCACCACCACAAAATTAAGGAAATTAAGGAAAAGTAACCAAATACCGAAAAGCACTCACAAGTAAATGTAGAAACCAATCGACCACAGACTCAAAAACCATTTACAAAGTAGTCTCTTAAAAGTACATCAGACAGACAAGTGCGGTGACAAGATTTTGTTTTAATATGTTTTGAATGATTAGTAAATATATACCGTTAATAACATAAAACCCAAAATTACTTTCTTTTTATTCTGGTTATAATAGAAACAAAACTGTAAAAGATTACCAACTCTAAAGAATCGATACTGATTTTTCTTAAAAATCGCATATTGTATGTAACGATTTTTTGGTTGGCATGCCTAGTACAATAAATCTGGCAGCTGTCAAAAGGTATATCATAAATTTGGGTGAGTCTAAAAATAACAACTTCCATAGAATAAAAATTGGTTTGTATTTTTGTAATAATCATTAACTATAAAACTATAATAACCTATATATTCACAATATGAAAGATCATGTTTTTTGCTAAATGTGTATTGCTGTATTTTGTGTATCACCAGTTTTAGTGCTTGGTGTGTAAGGTGGTGGTGGTAGACTGCTGTCGTGAATCTGAAATCATTAAGAAAAACAGTTGGTTAAAATTTATTTTAAGTAAATAACTAAAATTATCACGATTCCAAATTGAATTGTTCTCTTCTCAGTATCTTCATGGTATATTTTTTATTTGTTACCATCAATTTTATCACCAACATAAGCCTATGAAGGTTTAAGTAGTATTCATTCGTTTGTTTTTTATAAATTTGTTTGCTTTTTTGTAAATCATTATTTAAATTTTTCTTTTCATTTCTCAGTTTAAAATTCTGAGATGTGACGTTTTGTTTTTCGAGCTAATCGCTTGTCAAAGTAGTGGTATCATTAATACTACGATTGTATATTTGTGTTCTTGTAAATTGTATACATTTATATTATGTTTATGTTATTTTATATACATTATACAAATTTTTATTTTTGTAATTTACAAAAATGCATACATCTCATGTCTTGCAGTATGATTATTGTTCTACATTTGCTTTGTCTTAGATAACTAAAGCCTAGTAATTTAAGAATATTTTTCAAATACTTACAAAACCAGCATTTATATATGTAGTCGCTGGGTATATCGCGGATCCTGCAGACACAGCTCTTGTATATCTGTAATTAGACGGATTGGTAAGTGTTGGTTAGTCAGCAAGTTTAATCATTAAAGTTGGCCAAAATTTTATCTGTGATTTGCGTCACTACAGTAAAGTTAGTTACAGTTTATATGCGTCCCACTTCTGGGCACAGGTCTCATTTCAATTATGAGAGGGATTCAGTACTAAGATCTATCGAACGCACTACCCCGATGCGTCACAGACTGGACGTGTCTTTGAAATGTTTTCTTTTTAATTCCTCAGACTTTTTACTTCACCGTGTTAAATCGGCACTTAAAATTGCAATCAACGATTTCATTGGTGCCGGTGGAGGTCTAATCCAGGTTGCTCGTGTTATGTGAAATTTACACTGAGCGTTTAGCACCTGCATTACCTGAGCACGCTCTATAGTTCGTCTACGTTAAGAAAATAGTGAGTCATCAGTGCAACTGCACGGTAAACACACACAGTGGAGTAAAAATTCAAACAATTTATATTTAATAGCATAAAGTTTAATAGATAAAAATCTCAAATTAATCTAAAGTAATAAATAATATATTTAAATCATTATCGCTAGAAACTTCATTTGTATTTATTGTAATGGCCGACACACACGGCCAGTGAAACAGATCAGTTTAACTGACGTACATCCAAAAACTGACCGTGAGTGTGAAATCATAAAATTATTGGGGTACAAAAGAAAAATAACACATTAAAATCACACGTGAAAAAAGAGCTCGGCTATCCGCTATTGATAAATTAGATGAATTAAATAAATTGTCGATAAGAAAAAGTCCAAAATGCTTTTATGCTCGACACACATGGTTGGACTGACCAGTTACAAGGGATGTAATTTAAAACGACATCCCCACTCAATGGCTTTAAATTTCAACTTAAGATTTCACAGTCACGATTAATTTTTGGATGTACGTCAGTTCAAATTATCAATTTAACAGACCGTGCGCCCGGAAAAATCCGTGGATTGCCGTCAGTTAAAATTTTCAACTTATGATTTCACACTCACGGTCAGTTTTTGGTTGTACGTCAGTTAAACTGATCTGTTTCACTGGCCGTGTGTGTCGGCCATTACAATAAATACAAATGAAGTTTCTAGCGATAATTATTAAAATATATTATTTATTATTTTAGATTAATTTGAGATTTTTATCTATTAAACTTTATGCTATTAAATATAAATTGTTTGAATTTTTACTCCACTGTGTGTGTTTACCGTGCAGTTGCACTGATGACTCACTATTATCTTAACACGCATCGACTATATGCCGTAATAACACAAAACATTAATTTAATTATTTAAAAAAAAACTATTTTCCTTGTACCAAATATTGCATTGAATATAATTATAATATAATACCTACATAATTAGGCACTGTGTAGGTAGCTCGTTGAAGTAGGGCAGTATGAACAAAATCTGACTTATTCGTAAACTTTCATATTTTGATTCAATAAGGAAAGCTGCATTTTTGGTAAAATCAGCATGTTTAAATCACGATTAAAGTAAGGAGATTTTTTCTTATATGTAATGATGTCGTTATTATGATTGAAATTAGTAGTTGTATAAATTTAGTAAACTAAGTCGTTTACGCCACCCACACGTAATTAAGACCCAAACCGGTAAAGGGCAGCAGTATTAAAGTTACAAGACGTCTGGTAAAGCGATCTTATTTCGTCTTTCCCGATGCAACGGCTGATGGATAGTATGAAGGTAGATGTAAAGTGAGGTAGGAAAGTTTTAACATTTGTGATGAAATTCAAAACATCTTAAGTATTTTTTAACAATTATGACTTATCATTTCGGAATATTGGCAATAAGTGGCGTTACTTGACCTTTCGATACCACAAAAACCCTTCGAGGAAGATATGATAATTATTTTTTTATATATAATTATGTTACTTAAAAGGAAATACATTTTAACGTTGGTGGTGGGATTTGAAAAATAGTAATATTTATTGATATTTTTTTACATGTCCAATTATTATCGAGTATTGTCAACAGCTTGTTCTAATTATATAGTTTTTACCTTTGTTTTTGCGAACGTACATCAGGAAGTAAAGTTTCAATTTACATATAAACAAAATGATGATAATATCACATCAAAGTTGACGATCGCGTGGTCCAATGTACCTACCTACCCAAACTACTTTGTCAAAGCTACCCAACACCTATTTAATCTCGGCTTAGTAGCTGTTTTTTTTTTAAATTAACAAAACGTTAACTTTAGAATTCTTCTGTATCCTTTAGGTGTTCTACATATATTACTTGCACATGAATGAACATCTCAATCCGGTACTATTAATTGAACTAGGTCATACAAACATGTGTATTGCGCAAGATTCAAAACGCCGGCCTTGCATCGCCACACCCAAATGCTTATCCTATGGGCCACCGACACGTCAATAATGACTGCACAGTAATAAAGTAATGAGGGTATCCAAGAATTTTTCAGCAACCAGGGTGGCGCCACTTAAAATAAAAGTGTACATTGACAGATTACGTAGCGAGGAACTTAATTTGATCGGAAAATATAAAGGTGAATGTTTCTTTCTGTACTATTAGATATATTTCAAATTAATTAGATTTAAAAAGATATAAACCAAACCACTATTAGATATTCATGAAATTAGAAAATTTAGAAAAAAAACATGTGTGCAGTTCACACACGATAGAAGTGAAACTTTCAAATTAAATGAAATATAAAACAGAAACATTTCACAGCAAATGATTTATTTAATTTGATAATTTTCAACCACAAGTGCGGCATAAAATATAATAAGATAAAATTTTAATATCCATGCAAATGAATGTTACAATCCTTATTTTTAAGACATGTAGAGACTAAATTTTAGTGCATTAAATCAAAAGCATTATTTCTTTCGACTAAAAATTGCTTTTTAATAGCGACTTCATTCTATAGATACTAAAATGATTTTATCGAAGAAAAATTGATTGACTCTCAAGGTGGTCCGTAAAATATACACTAGATGACCTAAACACGACTAATTTAATACAAATCGGTAAGATATGAAATCGTAGATTGTTAAGAATGGTTTGGATATGATAATTTTATTCAATATAGGGTAAGCAGTATAATGATTGGCACTTTAAGCGGATTTCTACTTGTAAGTGGTTAATTCTCGTAAATAAACAAATTTGTTATATTTTCTGCCGACTTCCAAAAATGAGCCGGTACTCAATTCGACTGTATGTTTTTTTTTTTTCGTTTTTTTTTTTTTTTTTTTATGTGTGTTACTTCAGAACTTTTTTCTGGGTGAACCGATTTCGATCATTCTTTTTTTATTTGAAAGCTGGTACTTCTCGTGTGGTCCCATATGAATTTGATCAAGGTCAGACCAATAGTTTTTAAGTTATTCTTAAATAACTTATATTGAAGTCGGCTGTACAAAATTTTTAATTTTAAATTATTTATTGTTTTGTTGGATTTTAGTTTAGATAGCCATAAATAAAATAAAGCATTACGTTTAAAAATAAATGTAAAATTTTTCTAGGGTGTACACGCCCCTAGCTGCCCCAACCAACGATGACGGGATTAGGGCCCATGAGTAATCCCATCGACGAGCAGCAGAGGGATGGGGCCAGAATATGGCCACGTGGAATTTCCTAATTACAATAGACAATAAGGGAGAAAGCTAGAAACACGTAGTACTTACCATTATCTGAAGCTAACTTCGCACCAAGGCTTGGGCAGGCCGTGAGTGTGTGTAATAGTGGATGGCGAGTAGTGTGCAGTGAGATGTGAATGCGTGGGGCCTTGGCAAGCATAGGCGACCAGCAGCGGCCGAGTTCCAGGCTGCTCCAAATTGAGGTCTTCCGCGGCGTTGTCCACAGTCACTTTCCTCGTTCGTCACGATGACAGTCCATTAACTCTATCGTACGATTAACTAACTTACAGAAGCCACTAACTCTCGTTTGTTATAAGGTTAACGCACAAAACGAACACGGAGTGTCCGGATCAAAGGTCGCTACCGTTTCGCGTAGCAACAGTTATTTCTAGAATATCAAAGGCCGCACTAGATAATATTGTCGAATGCACCTATACAGATTCCGAGTCAAACCCAATGAGTCCCGGGGACTCATTGGGTTTGACTCGGTATCTGTATGACTTTCTACAGCAAGGAATACGCGTCACAAATCCTAGACAGTACATTTACGAGCCGCGCCTAATTATTCCGAGTTCCCGACAAAAAATGACAGCGTGCTGTCCCAAGCACAGCTGGCAGACGACTTCCTTGCACTCGCGCACGCTCGACACATCCAACTCTCAAACCGGTATGGCACCGAGCCGCGCGCCCCCTAGACGTCGATTCCGACAACAGCGTTTGGCACGAACATAGGGAATGTAACAATAATTGGCACTTTAGCATAGTGAATGGCACTGTAAATTAAGTATAATCATTGGCACTATTGGAAGTCTTAAAAAGTTATACTTAGATCTTTCTAAGCTCCATCTTATTGTTATAAGACTTATTTTGAACAAATCTTTTTCCTTAGATCTTCATCTGAAAGCGGTTTCGTTGGTCTACCATGTTTTTTTCTTTCTTCGTATACATTTTTGATGTGACTTTTTTAGTAAAACCTTTCGTGTTTTCTCGATGCTTTGTGGAAATAGAACTTTATTTCGGTTTTTAGATTAAACATTTAGAGAGTATTATAATGACAGAGTTTTAGGCTTCGTTCGTCTTGTTTTGCTTGTCAGTTTGTTTCTATATTTGGCTGAGTAATTCAATTCTGCATTTTCCATTTGTGCCCAATTTTTCTATTATTTTTTTAGCTCCACTAATTCCGAATTTTCACTTGTTAGCACAAAATAACGGTCTTGTTTACCTGTTTTTTGCTTTTTGATACGTATTTGGCACCTCCAACAAATTCTAAATTTGCTGCCTAGTTAATGAAAAACATAAGGGTTAGTTTTCTTTCTGATACTCAACAATAATCTCTGCAGGTTGTATACGCTCTGTTACTGATATACCATTATTAAG